TGTATCGTTGGGCGTTGGATTCAGGCAGGGGTCATTTCGTAGAAAAAGAGCTAGGGGGCTCATTAGCATAACTCATTAGCATATGCCACACCCCCTGACATCACCGGAAGTGTGTCCTCCCCACAGCCGGCGGCGACCTCCAGCGGGCACCAGCAGGGAGCTCCAGGCCCCGCCCTCCCGCACCTCACCCGGGGGGATGGCGTCCCCCCGCGTCCCCCCCCAAATGACCCCTGGGTTCAGGTAATAGGTGTTAGTTATTAAGGGGGGGGTTGTAAAAGTAGAAGTGGAAGTTGTAGTAGTTTGTTAAGCTTAGAACCTACAAAAGACGATTCTGGCTAGAGTAGCTGGGGGGTAAACAAGGAAAATAAGGAAATAATAATAAAAAAAGTGAGAAAATATATGTATATAAATAAAATTTAAAAAAGGATAAAGTAAAATAAGAAATAAAAAATGTTTAAAAACTGCAGAAATACTGCAATATGTAGAAAAACCTTCAGTATTGCCTGTTGAGAGAGTAGGGTTGACAAGGAGGGAAGATGGCTTTAATATTTACAGATATTACAGATTTAAAGTGTGTATCAATGGATGTAGGTACTTGCTATTCTAGAGATGAATATTAGGTGAGTGAGATGAAGGTTAAAAATGAAGAGAAATGACTGTTGTTGGAACTGTTGCTGTTCACTATGGTTTATATGTTGTATAAGGTGTTAATGGGATGGAAAGAGTATTGGAAAATTCTTATTGATGTGTGCATTATTGTGAAAATCCAATAAAAGTATATGCCAAAAAAAACCCCATTCCTCTTTTGAGACTCGTCTATTCCTGCCTGTGCTGTTCTCCAACATCACCTTCACCTCGCTTGTTTGACTGAACAAAGTGAACACACATGAATATACACGTGAACCCTACACACATGACACATTGAACAGACACGAACGTACCCCCGAACCTGCCTTTTACTGAATCAGACCCTTAGTCTATCAAGGTCAGTATTGTCTCCTCCAACTGGCAGTAGCTCTCCCGGGTCTTAGGCAGACGTCTTTCACCTCACCTACTACGTGGTCCTTTTTGGCTGGCGATGGGTGGGACCTGGGGCCTTCTGCAGGCCAAGCAGAGGCTCTACCACTGAGCCACAGCCCCTTTCCAGATGGCGTCGGGGAAGACAAAGGCCGTTCCTCTCTTGAGACTCGCCAATCTCTACCTGTGCTGTTCTCCAGCATCACCTTCACCTCACATCATGCCAAATCGTTACTGGTGTGCTTGCCAACCTCCAGCTTGGGGAATTCCTAGAGATCTGGGGGCAGTATCAAGGAAGAGCAGGTTTTGGGGAGCAGCAGGAGCTCAGTGGAGACGTGATGCCACCCTTTGGAGCACTCATTTCCTCCTAGTGAGCTGATCTCAACTGTCTGGAGTCCAGCTGCGATTCCAGGACAAGACCAGGCCCCACCAGGAATTTGGTAACCTAAGTTGTGGCTTTCGTCACAGTTCAGACCTCGAACCATGGTTTGAGCTTCTGGAACCAGGAGCAAACCGTGGTTTAGACCAGCTTGTCTGCTTTCCCTTCCTGCCTCCTCAGTGCTCTGGTCTCTAAGACGCAGGTGCAGAGCAACAGTTGCAGTTTTGCAGTTTTAGAAAAACCCTGCCAAACCAGAGAGTTTGTATAAAGCAGGCTTCTGCAAAAACCCATTTCGGTGTCAGAATCCCATTTGCCACCTGACTGCAACAGACAGGACTTCTTGTCGCTCAGTCGCACAGTCGAGTCCGACTCTTCGCGACCCCATGGACCTCATCACGCCAGGCCCTCCTGTCCTCTGGAGTTTGCTCAACTTCATGTTCGTTGCATCGATGACGCTGTCTAACCATCTCATCCTTCTTCTTTGACCTTCAGTCCTTCCCAGCATCAGGGGCTTCTCCAGTGAGGGCTCCCTCCTCATTTGGTGAAGAGCCAGTTTGGTGTAGTGGTTAAGTGTGCGGATTCTAATCTGGGAGAACCGGGTTTGATTCCCCACTCCTCCACTTGCAGCTGCTGGTGTGACCTTGGGTCAGTCACAAGCTCTGGCACAGCTGTTCCTGAAAGAGCAGTTTGTGTCAGAGTTCTCTCAGCCCTACCTACCTCACAGGGTGTCTGTTGTGGGGAGGGGAAGGGAAAGGAGTTTGTAAGCCGCTCTGAGACTCCGAGTGAAGGGCGGGCTATAAATCCAATCTCTTCTTCTTCTTCTGGTGGCTAAAATATTTGAGCTTCAGCTTCAGTCTCTGGCCTTCCAGGGAGCAGTCAGGGTTGATTTCTTTTAGGATTGACTGATTCGATCTCCTTGCAGTCCAGGGGACTCTCAAGAGGTATTTGTGAATTCCCTGCCTTGTGCAGGGGGTTGGACTAGATGACCCCAGAGGTCCCCTTCCAACGCTATGAGTCTATGCAGTGAGATTCACCCGGCCAGGTTTCACTTGCAGCCACAGGCTGGTCTCAGTAGCTACAGCTGGCTCAACAGACCCATCACCCCCTGGTTGCCCCAAGATGGGCTGTGGGCGGATTCTGGTCCAGCCGTCGGCATGTCCCTCTTAATAACGGCATGAGGCCAGGAGATGCAGCACACATCCAGCCCCACTCATTCAATCCACGCCAGTCCAGAAAAACTAAAACCTGGACGGGGCTAGCTCATGTAAAATTTCAAAATGCTGATCTGGAGGGGAAACCGCCCCCCGCCCCGATTCCAACCGAGAAGGAGAAATTCATCCGGAGACAAGAGCTGCGAGCGAGGAAAGAGAGGATGCCGTCAAGAGAGGAGGGGGCATCCGAGGTAACGGCGGCAGCGAGGGGCAGAGCGCGAGGCAGGTGCGGCACAGCGGTCCCCGGCAGCTGTGCCCGTTCATGCCAGGCTGGTTTCCTGGCAACCCGCTCCTCCTCGAGACAGAAATGGAAGTGGCGTGGGTGGCGGCGTGGGGGGCGCAGACAAAAGAGCCGCACGGAGCGTAAACACCACGGAACAGGAGCCAACGCTCTTTTGGATGAGACGAGAGGGGGTTTCTCCTGCCTTGCCCCCCCCCCAAAAAGGTCAAGCCCGCAGCCCTTCTCGTCGGCATCCATGTACACGGGCCGTTTTCAAGCCCTCCCGTTCCCTGGCGGCTGACCTGGGATGCAGGTCAGCCAGGGACACAGAGTGAGGCCCTCCTCGTGAGTCAGAAGGGGGTGGGGTGGGGGTGGGAGGAAATGGGCACTGTTTGGAGAGGTGCCCATAAGAGGGAGGAGGAGGAGGAGGCAGCTAAGAAGGTAGGATCGCCACTTTGGGGCCAGGAAGCAATTTTACTCCAGGCCAGCTTGGCCGGGGACCCTGGAGGTGTTTTTGTCATCTTCTGGGCATGGAGCCGGGGGGGGGGGGGGGGCAGTGGC